TGTAAGAACTTCTTAGATGAGAAGCAAAACGTCTTCTAAGAAAGTCCAGTTGCCTCTTGAAAAAGCATCTTTAGTGCAGTTGTTAAGCTAATAACACGATTGTTAAATTTATCCGACTTCCCCATTGACTTGGGTTGGTTGGAAAAAGTGGTCACATGACCCCAGGGCACTGTAACCATCATAAATGCCAGTTGCCATGGGTCCAAATTTCAATCACATGACTGTGAGAATGCCACAATGGTCCTAAGTGTGAAAATTGGTCATAAGTCACTTTTTTCAGTGCTATTATAACTTTGAACAGTCATGGACACTAAGCAAATGGTTGTAAGTTGAGAACTACCTGCATTTAGAAACATGCATCCTAGAGCTGAAGGAGAGGTAGAGTAAACTAAATAATCTTCAGACTTATGACCTTCCATACCATTTCAAGTTAAACCATATTTAATCCTGAATTCACCTGCTGTAGCTCCAACATGTTTTGCTGCCATAACACTGTAGAAAACACATCTGATACAATATTCTCAGCCTTTTATATATGAACATATATAATTCTAGGTTCTATCATATCTCAAGACCTAAAATGGACGACTAACATCAAAAACATCATCAAAAAAGCACAACGAAGAATGTTCTTTCTGCGCCAACTCAGAAAGCTCAAACTGCCCAAGGAGCTGCTGATCCAGTTCTACAGAGGAATTACTGAGTCTATCATCTGCACCTCTATAGCTGTCTGGTTTGGTTCTGCAACCCAACAGGACAGACACAGACTTCAATGAAAATTAGAACTGCAGAAAAAACAATTGCTACCAACCTGCCTTCAATTGAGGACCTGTATACTGCACGAGTCAAAAAGAGGGCTGTGAAAATATTTACAGACCCCTCACATCCCGGACATAAACTGTTTAAACTCCTTCTCTCAAGACGACGCTATAGAGCACTGCACACCAGAACGAGACACATGAAGTTTTTTCCTGAATGCCATCACTCTGCTAAACAATTCCCTCAATACTGTCCAGTTATTAAGTCTGCATTACTATTCTTATTAATCCTCCCATCCTTCCTTTCACCCATCTCCTCCCACTTATGACTGTAAGTTTGTTGCTTGTATCCTAACTATTTTTATTGACTGTTTCCTAGTATGATTTGATTGCTTATTGTAATCTATGGCTATTATTAAGTGTACCTGATGATTCTTGACTCTTGACAAGTGTATCTGTTCTTTCATGTACACTGAGAGCATTTGCACCAAGACAAATTCCTTGTGTGTCCAATCACACTTGGCCAATAAAGAATTCTGTTCTGTTCTGTTCTGTTCTGTTCTGTTCTATTCTAACACGCAACAGGGTGCTTCATTTCTGAAAGAGTAGGAAGTGCTAAAAAGGTCAATATTTTTACTTCATTCTGCTAGGCTGCTGATCAGCACATCAATCAAGTTCAAATTAATATCATCCTTCTGTCTTTGAGAAGATGAGGGGCCTTCATCCCCGAGACTCCAAATTGGCCCTTGAATTTGTCATCTTTTGGAAATCTCTGATGGAAGCCATTCACCCTTTGCTGGCCCCAATCCCACGGGTTTCCTTGGCTTTTCTATTTTAACCTCTTGTTGGCAACCTCCTCCATCTCATTTTAAACAGGTTTTATACTGTTTTCCCCGGGAATGAAAATAGTTTTTCTAGCAAGTTGGAAACACCCCTTTATCTAGCAGTGCATGGATATTATTACATCAAAGCAGGTGGAGAGAAAGGGAGGGGAACTGAAGTATGGAGAGAAGAATAATGCCAGAACGTTAAATACTAGTTACCGCTCAATCATATTCCTTTGTATACTTGTTAACTTGTACACACCCACACCTTTCCTATAGAAGAAAGCACACATAAGTATATCTTTCTTTTTTCTCTTGACAGGAAACCAGCAGCTTTGGAGAAGAGTAAATAAATAAAGTTGGGTAAATAAAAGTTTTGAAAATGCCTTCCAGAGCACGGCAATCCCACTCTGTATTAAAGGGCTGTTAAATTATTGTCTTGGGAAAATTTGGGAAAGCTGGCTGGATTACAGATCTATTACATAAGTCATTCAGTTTCTTTTCTTGCATCCACATCAGTGGTGGGATTCAAAAAAATTTATTACCAGTTCTGTGGGCATGGCTTGGTGGGCATAACATGGCTTGGTGGGCGTGGCAGGGGAAGGATACTGTAAAATCTCCATTCCCTCCCCACCCCTCTAACCTGCTTTCCAGCTCCGTTCTTCTGTGCAGGACAACAAAAGAAGACCCAGCCGATCAGCTGGGACTCAGGAGGCAGAGAATAGATGGGGGGGGGGCAGTCAGAAGTGGTATTTGCCAGTCCTCCAAACTACTTAAAATTTCTGCTACCAGTTCTCCAGAACTGGTCAGAACCTGCTGAATACCCACCTCTGATCCACATGCTAGCACAGAGTAGGGACATTGAAGTGGGAGGATTCCTAAAACATCATGATGGAGCCTCTGACCATGTAACCAAAGTATCTGCCATTTTTATGAGTGTCTTATGGAATTATAACCCAATAATTGTAACCGTAGTTACAATAGAAGAAAAAGATCATATTCAACAACACTAACTCTACTTTATTTGTTAGATCAAGGGTCCCCAACCTGTGAGCTGGGTGTTTGCAAGCAGGCCCTGGAAATGGCCAGTGAGCATGTGCACACATGCACATCCTCACTTCTGTGACCATCGGCTGCATGGACATTCAAGAGAGCCACAGGCAAACATGCACATCAATTGCACAAATAGAGTGTGCACAAGTGCGCTTGCTGGCCATTCATGCAGAACCAGCTTCTCTCTCCCCCACTGCCAATCCTCAAAGCCAGAAATGTTGGGGAACTCTGTGTTAGATTACAAAAATCTGCCCCCTTTAACTGTTTTCTGTATATCAGACCTGATGTGTGAGGCACAAGGAATCAGGATCACTCATTAAGGCAGGGGTGGGATTCTACCAGTTTGCACCTATTCTCTAGAACCAGTTGTTAACATTCTAAATAGTTGGAAGAACTGATTGTTAGAAGAAATTACTGGCCTAATACTGTAAGGAAGGCAGGAAGGAAACATTCTGGTGCTGCTTATAGAAATTGAGTCTCCATTAACTCTTATTACATTCTTGGCAGGACTAGACTTCCTGTCTCTGGAACTTCTCTGGAGTTTTTTTTCCCCTCCTTTGCTGGTACTTTACTTGTGTGGAGTGACCATTCAAAGTTACAATGGCACTGAAAAAAGTGACTTATGACCATTTTTCATACTTACGACTGTTGCAGCATCCCCACAGTCATGAGAGGCCAGGTGAGGAGATGCGTGCCTCGATGTGAGTGATATTGAGTTCACCACACCCAGCCAATAACATGTCCACCCAGTCACATGACCACCAAAGCCACACCCACAGAACCGGTTGTTAAAAAAAATGAATCCCACCCCTGCATTAAGGTCAGCATTAAATTAGTGCCAGATAAGAGACAGTGGAATTCAAGGGGAGGCTGGACTTGGATGCTTGTGTCAATGTAATGACTCCAGACAGATAACTCTCTCAACTCCACCCTCAATCTGTCCCTTCTTCTTCTACAGCTGTGATGCCTAACCTTTTCCATGTTGCATGCCCAAAGTGTGCAGCGTGCGCATTTGTGCTCGCATGCCTACACACATGATGCAATGAATGTGCAACTCCCCCCACCCCTGCACGAGTGTGCAACTCTGTGTGCACACAGCATGCACCTCTGCACATGCATGCATGACACTCCTCGCATGCTGCATGCCTCTGTGCATGCATGCATGTCTCCCACACGTGCATCTCTCCCCGCACATGTGTAGGAGATACCAATCATCTGGCTGGTGGGGGCACACGCACATGCACAGTGGGGCTCTTCCAATCGACCTCTTGCATACTGGCAGAAGTGGCTCTTCATGTCACTTCTGACACATGTGCCATAGGTTCGCCATCATATATCATCCTACAGTATGATAGATCACCAGTTGATTTAATTTACAGGTTTATAAACTCAGGAAATCTCCATATCTATGTATCCTACCTATATATCAAGGCAGTAAAAGCCAAACTTGCAATAAGTAGAGAGAACAGGAAAATTATCTTAAAAGCTGCAGAGTAGTTGAGAAATTTGGCTAAAATTCTTTGGAGGCAATTGAACTGATGATTATTCTTGGCCAGAAACTAACTTCCGCCTGTGGTTACCCGGCATCTAAATATTTAGAATAAAGAAGTTTAATTTAATGGCCAGTTGAGTCAATCTTCACTCCTACTTAACCTTAGAATGTCAGATTCTAAAACAAGCTGGACTTTCAAACTAAGACTTACAATATTAAAATATGAGAAAAGGAAACTCTCTTGGCCCAGCTAGACATTGAAATCATTGCCTAGAATCAGTTCCGATTTGGAAACTGAAGAATAATTGGAGATTTGGTAAGTTTCCAACAAAAATTTGGAAACTTATCAAAGAGCTATCCAACCTAGAATTGAGGAGTTCCCTTACAGTGAAAACAATTAACCAATAGAACTGTCTCTTCTCTTCCACTTCAAGCACATATATAGTGTCCTTGTGAAATCAACGTTGTAGAATACTGCAAAAGAATCACTACCCCGTAGCATCGATTATCTATAGGAAGACCCTGAAACAAACTTCAAACAATTACCTGTATTTTTTGTGCAATGACATTTATTTCAAATCAAAGAATTACAGTGGTGCCATTCAGTATACCTGGGAAGCTTAAAAATGAAGTTGTACTACAACATGAATCAGTTGTTTTATTTCTCAAAGTGAAGTCCTTAGGAAAATCAACTAACATGTATCTTTCCTTTGGAATAATTGTGCTCCCAACTCCACTGTGATACAGTTTGGAAGACAGGAATATTTCAATCATGTTAATTTCAGTTTTTCCCTCCTGAGAATCTACAACTGCATTTGTACACTCCCTTTGTATCTCAGGAATAGCATGCCACCATCTGGACTAAATACTAAGTCACTGAGTTTCCTTTGGAGCTTCTGGTTTCAGAGTTTCTACTTCCTGTTCATTAGTTTTTGCGGGCTCTGGGTCACCTGAGGTATTCTTGAGTGCAGGAACAAAAGGTCCCACAAGCCAGGATAATGGAGCGTTCTGGTGCACATAGTCCAAGATATCATCTACATACGTCTGGGCCATGCAGACTGTCTTCTTGCTTTGGATCAAAAGGCTGCTAGAAAGATCTTTGAAAGATTGAGCCTCAGTAAAGGTAGCTTGAAGTTCCTCAATGCTATGGAGAGCCAACTCAATATTCTGCTGAAAGATACCAGGCAGACCTTGGATGCTTCCCATCAAGTTGGTGTATGCAATCTGCAGTTGTTCAGTGATGTGATAACTCACGGCCAAGCTATGACATTCCATCTGTGAAAAGGAATGCACCAATAGATATATTTTAACTTCTCAAGAATGGCCCTACAATTATTACATCAAGAGCTCATGTTTCCTTGGTCCCCCTCTGACTTTAATCCAGCCGTACCTGCCGTAGCTTTTCCTTTTCTTCCTGGGGTATCTGAAGGATATCTTGCATGGTATGTTCTATCTGGTGGAGCAAAACAAGGAATTGTTTTTAGTACAGCTTTGGTTAGAGCAATACAATTTGCTTTGCCATCAGAAAGATCATGACCGGAGCAAGCTATCCATCCCCCTTGCAAGTGACTCAGAGCACTAAATGAATACAAGTGTTTATCAGTTGGAGTCTCCACTCCCAACTTAGATGCAAACAGATACATTTTTGCCATTTCCCCTCTGCTTTTTGTCTTTGAATGTGATCTGGCAACCACAGTTCGCCTTGAACGATTCACAAAAATACCAATATGAGCTAAAGATTAAAAAAAAAAATAAGGCTGCTAATTTCCAAGTGGGGGGAAAAGAGGTAAAGGCAAGGCATTTTGTTGCAAGAAAAGTTAAGTTTAGATATCTAATCTTAAGCTCCCCATTCCATCCTCTTTCTAGCACTGCTTTCCTTTTGCTTTCTTATTTCCATTCAATAAATCATTTCCCATGTACATAAGCAGGGTGAGAAGACCAAAGCACAGGCTAGCTTATGTCTCAGCGCACCCAGGCTAGCTTATGTCTAAGCTCCCTTCCAGATGTGTCACACACAAAGCTCCTTCAACATTATATTGCTCTAGCAGCAAAGCATGTGTTCTTTTTCCTGTGTACTTACTGTTCCTATGCCCCAATAGCATGAGTTGCTTATACCACAAAGGGAACATAGTTAAGGAGGGGTGGGGCTGAAAAACATTTCATTCCATATTGAATTTTTAAAAATTAAGAGGTCTGGAGGTGAATTTTCCTACCTGTCCAATGGCTTGACGTAACTGGCTGAATGTATTCTGGATATTTTCCCTGGCGGCTTCCATTTTTACCACAGCATACTTGTAGGCACGATTCTGGAGTTTAGTTGATAGGGAACCAAGTTGCACAAAATAACCTTGGGAGTCAGGTGGCAGGGGGATCCCTTCTGGTGTAGATTGTGCTATTTGAGCTGTGGAATATAGTTTAAAACATGTTACTTCTTTGAAACGTCTGCTCAGACTTCAAGCCATTTTCTTTTCCAAAGGTATGGCCTTTGGAAATAGCAATATTCACCAAAGACAATTGAACAAGACCGGGAGTATTGCAAATGCTAAACTCCTATGATCTCACAGACACCAGACTGAAGATGTTGAGGTAAAATGCCTTGCTTACCAAGTTCTTCCTCAGTCATTGGTAGATAGTGATCCAACAACTCTTCCGATATCTCTAGTACTACTTCTACCCCACTCATGGCGAGTTTGCCCATTCTTGTGTCTATGAGCATCTCTTTGCCATCTTGGACAGCTTTGGCTACTGCTTCTTTGGCATCTGCTACTTTGGAGGACACCAATTCCTGTGTCTCAGAAATAACCTATGGAGAGACCATTAAACAAAAGCAGCAACGTTCAGTGTTTGGGGAACTGGATGTAATGTAGTTCTAACCATTATTCTCTTAAGAATTACTCTGGGTAAGCAAAAAGTCATCGAAGTCTTCAGTCGTCAGAATCTATATTTGGAAAACAAGCAATATGTGACTATTGCTTTTTAGATTCCTTTTACTCGCCAACTGCTGCTCTGTTCCAAGCTATCAGATCAAATGAATCAATACAATGCTGAGATCAGATTTTACACAAGTTTTCATCCCCTGATCAAGTGGCTTTTAATTTTATCCCAGTGCAGTTTTAGATCTTTTCCTCATGCTCTTGATCAGAAATAAGAACATTAAATTACTATATCCAATATAAGGCAATTTTAAGATGTATCGGAGTTGCACCCCCAAACCCCTAGAGGGCACCAGATTTATCCTCCATCAACAATGATAAAGACAGGAGTAAAAATAAGTTCAGTTTACCTGGTCAGCTGTCTGATGGAGGAACGGCAAGTTCTCCTCCAGCTTATCCAAACCCTTGGAGGCATAGTGGCTTGCTACTGAAACTAGAGACATGCAGTATTTAACTTATAGGCTGCAAGACTTTTGACATAACATCCAAAAAGTATTAAGTATTTTTAGAGTTCTAATCAATAACCACTGAATCTTCCTTTTCCCCTCATTACATTCCATTTAAATTTCTCATGGTATAAACTTCTGAAAATTAAAGTATGTTGCAGTTTACAGAAAAAAATATTCCAGGTTGATATTTTTATTTTGAGATTTGTATATTGCCCATCCCACAAAGAGGTGACTCTGAGTGGATTTACAAACATCAATGTGGACCTCAGAGTCCAATTTCCATCCTTTCAAGAAATGTCACATTCTGACATGCATTTATATAGTACTGTAACAATTCCTACAATTCAAGTACATTATTGAAATGGCAGAAATTACAATATCGATGGATAAATACAGATTATCTGGAACAATCTCCTTATTGAACAGGAGTGAGAAAAGAGGAAGAGATAAACAGATCCTAGAGTTGGAAAAGATTACTGGTGCTCTCATCTCCCAGTGAAAAGGAATCAACTAATTTTCTGGATTATTGGTCTCACAAGACTCACAACACACCAGTAGATAGAATTCCTCACAATCTTTACATATGTGAACCAGTCCCAAAACCTACAGTGAAAATAAGCTTGTGAGGTGCCCCAAAGACTTGCTGCCTCTTTCCACAAAGAGAAAATCTTTAGAATGAGGGCAGTGCCTTACCTTGGGGCTCAAGCTTACTCAGAAAAGGTTGAGCACTATACATAGCCATCTCAGAGACATGCTTCACGCTCTTCTCTGCCAAATCCAAAACTACTTTAACATAGGGGTGGCTCTCCTTAGTCGAGGTATAAGCCGAAGCTGCCATTTCATAAGTGGAGCTGACAAGAGGCAGGTTGGTAGCTCTTGAAAGAACATCCTTTGGGGTATAGGATAGGTTAGTAAATACATGCAATGTTCAAATATGACTATAGCCTATTCCTATAGGAGGTTTCCTTGAGTATCCTCTGTATGTATTGGGACTATAATTCCCAGCTTTATATGACTAACAACCCTTCTAGCAGAAAGTTCTGGAAGTTGTAATCCAAAACCAAACAAGGTACACTATTGATGAGGGCTAGTTTGGACACAATTGTGTTAGCAGTTCCTTTGAATAATCTTTCTCCCCAACTACACTGGGTAATTCACATTTTAGCATTTGTTGGCATAGGCACCAAAAACATACAATATGTAGATATTATACAAGCAGCTATTTATTATACTTCAGAATTTGTTAAACCACAAACCAAGATTTAGAAAATTAAATAGAAATTAAAAGAGTGAAACAGAAATCTGGCACATTACAAGGAAAACTCCAGCATTACTTTTATCAAGTATCATTTTGCATCACATAAAAATATTCTAGAGAAATGGAACTATTCAGCTTTTGAACCATGGGTGATTTGCAACTGGCCACAACTCACCCCATAGCAGGTATTTTATGAATAGGCAAACTTCCTGGAGTAGCCATTTTGTGAGCATGCTCACATTCCTTGCTCTCACCCTGCTAAAATATGCCCCCAACCCAAAAGGCAGACTACCCATTATTCCAAGGAACGCCCCCCCTCCCCCCCCGCCCTATTTATAGATGACAATGTCAGGGATTCAATAAACCTTGTCTGCAAGTGTTAGGTTTAGTACTTTCTAGGACAGGAAGTTAGGAAAGTTATCATGGTAGAGAGTGGAAGAAAAATAGACAATTCCTAGAAAAACTGCTGACATTCCAGGTTAGAAAAATACACCTAGGACAGGCTGTCTCTGCTGCCTTGCATATTGCAGGGCCCCAGGATACAGGCTGCAAAAGTTCAGAAAAGCCCCAAATTTATTTTTCTATTTTCACTGCCATCTAGTGGTTGCCTTAATTTTTTCAACTGGGGCACCTTTGAATCGGTTTCTTACTCCTGGTGACTGGATTAATCCCTGGAAGTTTCTTGGCAAGGTTTTGGAAGTGCAAAGCAAGTGTCACCCCCCGACCCCATCCCCCCCAAATTGACTTTGTGCATAAATGGGGACTAGAACTTCTGCTATCCTGGTTTCTATAGTGGTGTTTTAATCACTACACCAAACTAGTTGTCTCTCTACATTTTATAGGATGTAAAATTTCAAATCTTAAACTAATTGTGTTTCAATTATTTCAAGGGTGGAATAAGACTGGTTCAGGTGCTTTGGAAGCATTTCTCATTCATAGAGCCTTTGGTGCAAAAAGACCTGGCTTTTGAATGAGGAATGCTACTTAAAAAGAAAATAACTGGGCTGAGAAAATTAATTATCTTTAATTAAAATTAAATAGCATGGTTCTGCCTTCTATATAAAACATTGTTTCAATCACATTAAATATTACTTGGCATTAAAATCTAAATTGGTCCTGCAACTTTATTATCCTGTCTAAATTATATGCAGATGTCTACTGATACTCATTCATTAGTTTAGACTCTCCAAGGACAAATTTACCTGCTGTGTTTCATTATTCTCCATAGCTGAAGACTGTTCCTCATTATTTCTGGGAGCCACTGGATGTTCAGGCCTAGAACAACAAAAATATCCCTTAGTAACACCTGTAACTCTCTCAAGATACCTACAGCTCAAGAAGAACATTGAAGGTGCTATTTTTTTTTATATCTCTGGCCTCCACTTTGCATCCATTGAAATAGGCAACAGCTCATGTGTAGCTTTTCCCAAGCAGAAGATGCAGACATGACTGTGTGTGAGCCCTGCTAAAGGAGAACAAATGATAAGCTTATTATTGTAAATCATAGTTTTTTTTACCATCACTTCTTGGTAGAATTTTCTTTTCAGCAACTTTGGAAATTTAACTAAATTGTAGCTCCATTTTAAGGAAAAACCAATTAACCCAAATTGTAGCTTAAAGTGATGGATGGACCCAATCAAGTTTTCTAACATTAAGCCATGATTGTTTTGACATATAAACCTGCAATTGTGCCTTGGAAATCATGGTTTTAAATTTAGCTTTGGGTAGGAACCCAGAAACTATGGCTTATTTTAGAGTTAATTAAAACACATGGCTTATCACAAGGCAGGAATCTTAAGCAGTAATTCCCTTAATCTTAAAGCAAGGTTTCAACTCATTAAGTGACATTGCTTTTACATTTCCAAGGTTAAAACATGGCAAATTGTTCTATATAGAAGTTATCTAAAATACATGTGCTTTTATGTTACATTAGAGTATAAAAATGTAATCTGGTAAAATTTAATAATAAAATGCAATTTAACATGTAAATTGGCTCTACACCAAAAAGCAGACCAAATGATGGCTTATAAATGTTCTGTTAATTCATTTAGAAACTCTGGAGATAAAGGAGAAAGTGGAACTACCATAGCATTCCATGTTCACATAGCCAATACCATCCCCAATATTGTACATTAACACATTCTTCTTAACTTAAATACCATTTTAAAAAAAACTTGGGAAACACTTACATGTTCTTAGTAGAAAGTTTTAAGAGGGTCTTCAGCTCTTCACGGAAACTCCTGCAGAGTAGATTAGCCAGCTCCAATTTCAGCTTATTTATCTATCAAATGAAGACCAAGCCCTCCAACTGACAGAGCAGAGGGCCAATGGGAGCATTGTTTGATTGAAGAGATCTTCCCACTTTCTTGCTTTGCTCACTGACTGGCTATGCGAGAGCAAGCAATGCTCCCATTGGCAATCTGACCTCTCCAGATAATACCATCAACTGAATAACTCATAATGAAAGCAGTAGGGGTTGGGCTCATACATTGGTTTGAATTATAATGCAGTTTGTTCAGTTTGGGCTTAATGTGCTATGTGAACCCATCTGCCTAGTGTGTAGAACATGGTATGTAACAGCATGTTATGTAGCCCAGATAATAATGGTTGGTTTGGATAAGCCCTGCTTAAACCATGTCTCACCTGAAGTGGTGACATATTTTCAGCCATGGTTTGTTTGGACATGGTTTGTTGAATATATCACAATTAGCTCTGTTCACATCTCAAATAAATTATAAACCATGTTTTAGAAACCACAGTAGTTAATTTCACACAATGTGCTAAGCCAGGTTCCAAAAAGTGGCACAATGATTTAGCACAAAGGTCTTTGAACTCTGAGGCAATTGGAACTACTTGGATATTAAATGAAAGCTCTGGGTGTGCCATGGTGGGCACTATCATTATCAAACACTCAATGTGGTAGCCATGTTTCCAAAGTTTGCTATAACTTTTACTTTCAAGGTTGTTCCCAGAACCTGGAATCATTTTTGGAAATGAAGGTGATATTCAAGGCTGAGTGTTGTTTTTCAGGATGCTAGCTTCTCAATTTGTAATAAAAGATTAAAAGATCCTTTTAAAAAGGTAACACAGCTGGATGTGGTGCTTGGCAGGAGGCCCACAATATATCTGCATAATGGCATTGGGACTCAGAATGTAGTATTCTGTGTAAACCAATGTTTTGAATAACAATATATTATTCCTATGATCTTGTGGCCTACCATAGGAAGGTTACAAAAATCTGCAGCAAAGAGAAGCAGACCAACATTTTTTATTTTTTATTTATTTATTTATTTTTGTCAATTGCTTACAAGATAATAGCTATAAGTAAAAACATAGTTATGAATACATGGATACTTATAAGAAAAATAAATATATATACAAAAGAAACAATAGGACAGGGATGGTAGGCACGTTGGTGTGCTTGTGCACACCCCCTACAGACCTCTTAGGAAAGGGGTGAGGTCAATAGTAGACAGTCTAAAGTTAAAGTTTTGGGGGTTTGGGGAAGAAACCACAGAGTCAGGTAGAGTATTCCAGACATTGACCACTCTGTTGCTGAAGTCGTATTTCCTGCAATCAAGTTTGGTACAATTAATCTTGAGTTTGTATCTAGTGATGTTCACCCATCATAAGAATTTATTTTGTCATTACACTCGCAAGCGGGTGCAACGAAATGAGGTGCTCTTCCACAAGTAAAACTGGACAACACCATTGAAAGAAAAATAAAATTAAACACAACAGACCATACAATAATCTCTATTGTATCATCCAGATTAAACTTAGTTAACAGCAGCTTACTTTGAAAATGATGGCTTATTTTAGGGTCTGATCCTTTAAACACTTAGGCATCTCTCACAATTTTCTGCATTTGATTAATGCAGCTGATTTTCCTAGTAGGCTTAAGCCAGTAAAATTAAAAAGTGGGGGGATCTACTATTCTGTCTTGTATTGGCAACCAACATTAGTGAGCAAAGTTTTTCAGACCAACCAGAAAATTATTGTCTGATCATGCTTATATACTGTGTAACTGTTGAGGATACATTTGCTGGGTCAGTGCTGTTTGTAATTGCACATGATTAGATCCTACAGAATTCATCCACACATCATATCATGGTTGCTCCATTTCACCTTTATTAGCCAATTAGAAAATGAGGAAGGACACAACTCAGAACTAATGCTGGCTAAAAGGGGAGGAAGAAATAGAAGTGGAGTTTTCTGTTTTCTTGCTTGCTGTGTTCATTTAGGATAAACTGACCTGGGTTTCATAGTCTCCATAGCAACCATTGGTTTCTGGGTGATCTTGGGCCTGACATATATAGTAGATGCAGTAGGGGTTTCTGGCAAGACCTCATTTTTTGTCTCAGGGCAGCTGATGCTAGATATGAAGATGGGAAATATTATGATCAGTTCTTTACTATGGTTAAATCACTTTCTGGTCAATATCATTATCATTATTATCAATTAAGCCAGAGAATTATCATGGAGAAGAAAACATTCAGAAGAAAAAGGCACTAGTTGGGTATAATTGGTTAAGCTTTCCCATTGTTCTCCTGCATTTTGCACCAAACTGAATAATTCTTTGTCTCTGAGATTTCTCTTGCAAGAATAATCTCCCAGCAATTGAAAAGAAGTTGGGTGCAGATGAAAAATACAGATAACGGCTTCTTAATTTGGGCCATATCCATTTAAAATGGATTCTATTTTCCTAATCCTGCAATGTAAAAGAAAAAAACACTTGCTTTTAGATGAGTTAGTGAGATAAATGCCTCTCAAATTGTCAATTTACAGTATGAAATTGGGTGTGGTAAATTGGGCGAAATAAGCTCGTCGGCCCAAAATTTCACTGGATCATGTTAAAAAAACAAAAGCAACTGGACCATCAAAAAATCCTTCAACTTTCCATGGATTTTCCAATATGTGGACTGTTGGCACACTTCTACAGAGATAGAGAGCTATTAAATGCTAATGAATCTTCTGAAGCTGTTGAATGATCTAGCAGGCTCACTGCAACTTTTTAAACAGTGGTCTTGTTGAAAGTTAACTACATAGTTTTTGCAGAATAGGGAAACAATTATTAAGCAATGATGCCAGGTTTGTGGGAGTCTTTGCTGAGGAAATTGCTTAGTTTTGATCTGGGTTGCACACCACTTAGGTAGAGTGTGAGGCAACATGTCACAAATTCCTTTGGATTAGTAATTGTTTTTCCTTTTTTTATCTTGTAGAGCAGGGATGTCAAACTCATGTGGTTATGTGGTCATCATGTGACGTATTGTGACTTTCCCCTTCACTAAAATGGGGGTGGGTATGGCCAGTGCATGACTCATTCTGCCCATGTGCCATGAGTTTGACATCCCTGTTGTAGAGTTTGAAAACAGGGACAGAGTTCTCTGTGACGTGAACTCTTCCAACTATAGACTGGTACTACATGCCAATTGGGTCCTTCAGATGGGAGGAAAGGCTGTGGCTCACCAGATTCAGAAGTCGTTGAATGTTTATTAGAGAGGATGGTACCTGCTTGCCGGTAAGCACCGAAGTCCAATTCAAAATCCTGGTATTAAGCTACTAAGGCCTACATGGAGCCCTGATGGTATAGAACTTAGATTGCAATGTTGCAGGCAAACTCTGCCCACAATTTGGAGTCTGATCTTGACAGACTCAAGGTTGACTCAGCCTTCCTAGGTTGGTAAAATCAGGAGCCAAATTGTTGGGGCAATATGCTGATATTGTATACTGCCTAGAGAGCGCTGTGAACTTATAAAAGTTTACAGTTTACAGGTATATAACTTTAAATGCTATTGTATTGCATTGTTTAAGGGCTGTGTTGCTATTGTCCTTCTCATCTTTTCATCTTCTCAACTTTCTCATCTTATCTAATATCTTCTCCTATTGGTTTCTTATGATTTACCACTTGTTTGTATCTTGTGATTTATAATT